AACCTAAAGAAGTGTATATAACCTACTTGACCTATTATAACATTCAATCATGTCAGCCATTGCAACTAAAATCATTGAAAAATACAATCTCAGCCCCAAGATGGGTCTATCTGGACTTAGTCCACACACCTCAGAGTTTCTCAAGAATCTTACTGATGATAGAAAGTGGAGTCAAGCTCGACGACGACTTCGAGATGGTTTTAAATTTACCAATGAACAGGTGGGTATATTGATACCTAATCAGAGAGGCGGGAGAAATAAAACCATAAGCATTATCGAGGGTAGTTGCAAAATGGTTATAGCTTCGTCCCCAAAAGATTTAGAAGAAGAAATTATCAGAGAGATAGCAAAACGAATCTTGCAAAATAGATATGGGTTTAGTGTGAATCAAGTAAATGTCTTATTCTCTACTCAGGAAAACGAAAGTAAAACCAAGCACGAAGTGCCCTGCTCCGCAGTAAACATTGTTATCTCTAATCAGACTCCACAAGAAACTATTGGGGATATGGCGCAACGGATTTTACAGGATAAACTTAGTATTAGAGATGTAAGAGCTGAAGCTTATGCCTTAGCCCTATCAGCAAAAAATGCTAATGCTGGCTCATCACGTCTCTCCCGTCTCAGAAGAGAGTTAAAAACCCTTGGTGCTTCATTCCAAATAATCGAGGCTACGAAATTTTCAGATATTACAGAAGATGCCAACAAAATCCAGAGTGTCAATCGGAAAAAGGCTGAAGCTAATCGTATTGATTACCCAGACCACTTTACATTAGAATCGGTTAAGGAAAGGTTAGATGCATATGATATTAAAACTTCACCTGATTTACAAGCTCTCGCAGATGTTATAATAATGTTATGTATTCGTCCTGCCGAACTTACTTTACGTATTACAGATGCCGGAGTAACAGGTTACGCGAAGAACAGGGGTCAACCAGATATTCCTAGAAAATTTAGATCTATGGAGAAGGATCAAGAACGAGCTAAGGAATTGCTTACATGGATTCAGAATACTATATCTTCTGGTCGAATCGGTGATCCAGGTAAACCAGGAGTTAAATGGTTCAATAGATTTTTAAAAGGCTATGATTTAGTTCCTAAACATTTGCGCAAAATAGGGGCGGTCTACGGTGCCGTGATTCATGGTGCTAAAAATCCAGCTCATCTAATGACAATAGCTGGTGAATGTCTACGTCACTCATCCGACAACCATACTTCACCTGTGCAAAATTATGTTGTAGTAAATTACAGACCCAGAGGAGTTCCTTATGAGCAGGCAAGACCATTTCATATCTATGATCAAGATTAATTGCGCTTCTTTACTTTTACCACATCTACAGTAAAATCTTTATCATCATAGATGATTCAGAGTCGGACCCAGATGAGGATGTAGACTCAGATGCTGTATCATTAAAAATTAACTTTTTTCTTTTAGCCTTACATAGTGTACTATTTTTTTGAGAAATATCTGGATTTGCTATCGAGTTTATAATTTCTTGCCAAATCTCGGGTTTTACTATCTTAAGTAATTGAGGAGAGAAATCGAAATCGTTCTACGTGATACTTGTTCAACGAATTTAGATATTATTTTCAGGGTACTATTGCCAGAGGCAACTGTTTCATAGCTATTTTTGACCATTGGATTTAAATTGATTTGTTATTAATATATGGAAAAATATAATTAAATATATTATCACATAAATAATCACAATGAAAATTTTATCTTGCAAAATTAACAAAGTACCTGTTACAGCTATATTAGATTCCGGTGCTAATTGTAATATTATAGGCAAGAGTGTAGCAAAAATAGTAGGCTTGAAAATTGATAATACATCTGGTACAGAGATATACAGTCCCATTAGCGAGCTCAATATATTGGGAATAATTCGTGCAATGGAAATTTCGGTCCTGTCTCAAGATCGGAAATGGGAGCAAGTAAAAGTTACTGATGTTTTCGTTACCAATAAACCCGAACTTGAATCTGTACTGATATTGGGTCAGGCATGGTTCCAGGAAAATGCAATGAAAGTGGACTTCCTAAATAAAACTCTTACATTTCTTGATGGAACTAGTTATGAAGTTAAGTGTAATTGAGAATATCCAGAAATCCATAGTATATACTCCTAAAATTAATTATCTAAGCATTGGTTATTTTTTGATTAAATATATACATTACTTAAGAATGACGCAACTATTATGGAGCAATGACCCAAAGGGTCTAAATATTTTTAATTTACCAGAATTACTAGAACAGATCTTATATTTTTTAGAAATCAATCAATCCCTCTATCCCGCTTTATTCGTCAACCACTTTTGGTATCACTACGGTGCTCCTATTCTATGGCGTCGCATTGAGTTTTTTACAGAAAAAGATTATCAGAGAGGTCGGCATGGTCGTAAGATGCCTCGAGTTCTTACTTGGAAATTGATAAATTTTAAAAAAAGTCATGTGTGGAAAGATAAAGCCAATCTATTGCGCCAAGATGATATATCTCAGATTGGAAGGTTTAAAAATCAAAGATGCATTGATTAGTACGATTCTACGCTCATGCCCAGATATACGCACTCTCATTCTTGATCAGAGTAATGGTTTCTCTAACATACCAATTATAGAAATTGCAAGATATTGCCCAAAGCTATTACATCTGAGTCTTAATTCATGTAAATGTCTTACTGATCGATGTATCACTGAAATTGCTCGCTCATGCCCAAAACTTAAACATCTTGAGCTTGGTGATTGCTCGATTAATAATAAAGCTGTTGAGGAAATAGCCTGCAATTGTACTAATTTGAAATATCTTAGTTTGGAGGGATGTAAAGGGATTAGCAAAGAAGTGATGAAAAAACTTAATTCTAAAATTAGTGTGAGCAAGCCTTTGGCTAAAATCAAACATCCGGATTATTCTGATGATGAATTCTCAGATTCTGATCTACCTCCACTTGTTCCAGATCCATTAAGGGTATCTCGAAGCATTATCTTTACCGGTGGACCTAATAGAATGGTTTTAACTAATACAATAATTGTAACAGATCTTATTTCTGCAATTAGAGTATCATCAGCATTGACTGATTCAGATCTGGATTTTGATGGACCTATCATTTACATTCTAAAATAATAGTATACAACTATTTAGTCGCATATAAAAATAATTTTAATGTTATCATAATAAGTGTTTCTTATCTGAAAATGCGTCTGTATGTATTGTTGTTGTATAAAAACGATTAAGCTTTTTTTTGACATCATCCAGGAGATATTTTCTAGAATTTCCGGTGGTATTAAATGTATTCATATTCATAATTTATAATAAATATTGTATATTTTTTTTCTTGCAAGATATAATTTCCGTTCAAGATGCCATCAAAAAAATCTGACAAAGATGATTCGGCAAAGTCTTCCAAGAAAAAAACAGTTCCATCCCGTTTAGCTAAAGAAGATATCACTGCCATAGTATTTGCCGAGCAACTCAAAGCTGGTATAAAAAAAGTCAATGCCCATTACCATATAGGTTCTACAACTATCAAAAAAATATGGGCGTCATCCAATCCTTATGAACATGCCAACTCGATAGGGGAACCCAACTTGCCTGAATGGTATAATAAGAATGTTAAATTCAAGGAGTCTGAAACAACTCCCAACGCCTCTCAAGAAATATTCTTACCTGAGGAAACTAAGCTTCTCATTAAAGAACCCAATATAGTTAAGCAAGATACCAGTGAAAAACAAAAAAAGAAAGAGGCTGAAATAGAGCGGATTGCAAAACGGATCATTAGATCAGAATTGGGTAGGATAATCCAAGCTGAAGACTGAATAAATTCCAGGGTTGTTCTCCATATTTCAAATAATAATGCTTATAATATATATAACCAAAATGTTATTTGTAAATTGCGCAGTCGAAGAAAATTTCCTGTTGAAACATTAATTGATATAGGCGCTAACGCAGATTTAATTACCCAAAAATTTATTAACGAGTTGGGTTTAGTACATCATGTAAATAAAAGCAATAGCCTCGAATTACAAACTCCTGATGGATCATTTTCCGTACTAGGAAAGGTTGAACTGCAAACTAGTTTTAATGTTGATGGGAAGCATAAAAGTATCGATCCCATTGAATTCTTGGTTCTTGGATCAGATTGGCCTGGGCCTGATTTAATGTTAGGAAAACCATGGTTGCAAAAAAATGGTGCAAAGATTGATATGTGTAATAGCCAACTTATCTTACATGATAATTTTGCAATTCCAATTGTGGAGAATAAATAGTGAATCCAAAACTGAACCTGAGACAGACTCTTTCCAATCCAGATCGCCAATAGAGAATAAATCATGATAAATGTGTGTTTTTCTCTGATCAAATGACATAAAATGATGTCAAGATCGCCCATATAAAAACATTTACTGAGATCGTCCATAGAAAAAAATAAGCATAATTATAATATTCTTAACCTCCAATACTGAGTATTAATTATTCAAATAATAAAAAAAGTTAGTGCAGTCTCATCATCTTGACATGTGTAAAAATATCCGAATGAAAATGGGGGTGTAGATTACGCAAGTTAATTGTTATAATGGATTCTAACTTTATTCCTATTAGATCGATTAATATAATTACAACTCTGAATAATTCATCATTAATTGTTGTTTGAATAAACCTTATTACTGAATAAAAATTTCTAGCAGGTTCGAGGACTTTATAATGCTACGCACGGATATATCTTTAAGACAGTTCTATTGGTAAAAAAAACGTGATATGTTTCTTAGTGAGTATTATAAATACGCCTTGAATCCATTTTTTGCCACTCTTTACTTCCTCGCTATAATATTCAAAAGTTTAAAAACAGACTTTAAAACATATTCAAAATAAATAAAATCTAACAAATATTATACATATTCTAATTTTTGATCAAAGGTACAATATTCTGGAATAAAAACATTTATTTACCTAATATTAAACACTGATATTTTTCTTTTTGACATCCCACATATGTTAAATTTTTTTTTTTCATAGATGTCTCAAATCAATGTTTCGGACATATTACCTTTATTGTCCTTGATCGCCATTCTCACGTGGTTTTCTATTAGTTCTATCTAACCACCCGTGATGCTAACATCTTAAATTTCATCAGGCAACGATTTACCGAAGAAAACATCTTATATGATTCTAAGCTCACCGAAGGACTTGCTAAACTGAACGCCGAACTTAATGCACATGATGCTAACTTCACTGCGGAGGCGCAGAGAATCTTGTTGTTGATTAATTCTTTTACCACGAGACTTGATGAAATTAAACAAATTCTTGAATGCTACAATAATCACTTTGGTAGAATTTCATCCGAATTTGATTCAATTAATGAATCTATCACAACATTCCAACCCCTATTTAATCAACGTCATGCAATCATCCAAAGAATCGAACAAGATCAGCAAAGTGAAATGAACCTATCTGAAGATTCTTCCAATTCACACAATTCCTCTATTAATTCTTATTCTCCTAATTCCTCTGCTAGTTCTTCAAGCCAGCGATCATTTTCAGGAATTACTATCTGGACTCTCTTTAAACAGATCTTTGATAGGGATATGGCTCAGAGAAGATATTCTTTTGACGAAATGTGTTATTCCGTAGCCATGCGCATTCGTGAACTTGGAGGAGATATTAGGCAATCAACGATCAAAAACTTTTATAATAGAAGTAGTAGTTGTAAATCAAGTACCGTGGACCAAATTGGTTCATGGATAGATAGTATGGAGTAGCGGGAAGGAACTCTCATTTTATGGGTTAGGGCTCGAGTACTTCCTCCCTTTAAACTCGCTACTCTATCATTTTATATTGTATTAGTTTAGTCAATTTCATATAAAAATAATAAAGATACATCTTAATTTTTTAAAATAATAATAAGTTCACATATCTGTATTTTTCGCTCGATTATCGCATCGCCATAAATGAAAGAAGTCCCATTATTTTTACTGCAGAGCAATGCCACTTATGTGCCTGTTGTATACGCTTCAAGCATTTCATTTAGTCCATTGCCCTGATCTTCTGCGATCCACATTTTCAAGTATACTTACCTCCAATAAATTCCCTGACCGTAACTTCTTCGTGAAAATTGGAGGGAAGTCCGTGCTATGTAAGTAGCCTTGCTAGGCAAGAAATATATTTTACACAATCTTTCTTAAACGCGGGTGTGAAATAGTTGAGTGTCTTTTCCATATTTTTTCTAATCGTATAGTAATGTAAAGAAATTCAAATTTGATACTCTATCCGCATAATCAATCAGATAATTAATATGTCATGTGACATCAATGATTATCATCTATATCCCTTAACTTGCCACATTTGATGATAATCTTTTTTTTTCACTCTCATGGATTTCTATAAACTTAATGAGGTAGAAGACTGGACGTGTATAAAAGTTGTAGAGCATTATCGTGCTAATTCAGAACAAAAGGACTGGAAAAAAGTGCTGGATAGTATAAAGAAAGATCTCAAAAAGGTGAAAGAATCAACCTCTGGTTTTGACACGACGCGTAAGAGAAAGGCCCAAAGAATCGTTGACAACTGGAAAGTATGATTTTTCTTAATAAAATAGAGATTCAAACAAGTTAGGGAAAAGCTGTGACTCTTGGTCTACAGTTATGAACTCCTTGTTCTTCCTGAGTGCAAGCTGTGACTCTTGGTCTACAGTGATGAACTCTTCGTTCGACACTCAAGCAAGCGCAAGCTGTGACTCTTGGTCTACAGTGATGAACTCTTTGTTCGACGCTTTCTTTGCTTTATATTTATGTTTATTGTACAATGATTCTTGTGGGTACTACTAATTCTGTATTTTTATTTTATTAAGGATTGGACTGCATCAATGGACAAGATAGATGATCGTGCACAGTTTAAAATTGAGTTTCAGCAGGTGAACTTCTGGCCGAAAGGTTGAAAATTTTACAAGACAAAAAATACTAAGTAACATTTCTGTAATTAGGTAAAACAGCAAGTTCTTGCAACCGGAAATGCTATAACTAATATCACCGACAACTGTTGTATGAAACACCATCAAGATGTGAATAATGATGATGAAGAAATGACAAATACTGGCGTTACGGCTCCATCAAAAAAGGTGAGTTTAAGATTAAAGGACCTTCCTAAATTTGTATATAAACCTTTTGGATGTATGCATAGGTCAAAACTAGTAGAATGACAACTCCGGAACGACAAATATATCCGTCAGAACGAAGTGTAGAAGACTGTTATGAACAATCAGATTCAGTTGAGGGAAAGGAAGATGATGGCCAACCTCTTTTATCAGTAAGTTCTTGATATAAGGTTCGATTGACTTTTGTTTTGCTCATTCCTAATTTGCATTATGGTCTGCCTTCTTAAAGTCAAATGACCACGATGTAGAGATAACACATGAAGATGACGATAATCCTTTCATAGCAAAGACAGGGGAAGGTTCAATGAAGTGTAAGGTTAGTATTAATCGATATTAACATAATCTTTCAAAAATAATAATCACAATTTTGACATTAGTTAATTTGATTCATATTATTCAAGGTCGTCTTATCATGGAACCATGCAATCGTTAATATGGTCATAAATAATATCTCTGAAAATGACGTAAGTATTGTGAGAGACATTCATTTTTTTGGTATCTTTGTCCTGTTATAGTCTAAAACCCATTCTCTTTTATACAGTGGGTAACACAGGATGGGCACAATATCTCTAACGATTTTCGTAACTTTCAGTTAAATTCAATTGAAAAGTTGAAAGCTAATCCGACTTTATCATATGCGAAAGAAATTGATTTGATATTGTAAGTATTTCCTATGCAAAGTTATAGAATTTTGGCTATAAAATTTAACTTCGTATATACTTGCAGGTGTCTATCGTCAATTATGTATTGCAATGAATTTAAACCAGAATATATTAAATGTTCTAAAAAGGTATGGAATGAGGCTCTCCCAAGATCATTAGCCCCAAAGATGTTGTTAACAATTGCTCACTCAGTGATGATCGAATACAATACGGTAAGTATCTTCCTGAATGTTATTAATGAGCAATCAGCAAACGCGTTAATTTGTTTATTGGTGTATTAGCTTTTGAATGACAAACAATCACTTAATGCAAGATGGTGTGAAAATTGGACAAAAGGGAATACATTGCTAACGGACGAGGACAAAGATATCTTTGACTGAGTACAGATAGTTTCGAGAAATTTGTAAGTTCTAAATTTAATAAAAATATTTGTTAATCGTATTATTAGTACTTATTTCTATTTGCCTTGCAGTTTTACCTATTTATCTTCAATGAGTTATAATGAGAATAAAAAATTGGACGAAGATACATTCATCCATCGATACTGTCACCAAGTTCTTGAAGAAATATTCAATAAAACTGAATACTCATTGATTTGGTAAGTTTCATGTAATTATTACAGTATGCTAACTATATTAATATATACTTACATTTTCATTATTAAAACAAAGGGCTAATGGTGAATCTGAAAGTTCTAAAGCAAGATGTTTATTGGATGGTCACAACCATGGCAGAAAACCAGACTTTCGGATCCTCTCAAAGATCGATGACACCGACAAAGAACTTATATTTGGCGAAATAAAGCCACCACATTGTACTGATACCATAAATAAAAGCATAATAAAATTAGCAGAGTTCATGAAAGGGTCTTTAGACTTTATTATTAGTATGTACGGCTATGTGGTTGGTCTGGAAACATATGGTATATTAATTTGTGGTAAGCCATCACTATTATAACTTTGCTGACGTTTAGTTACCAAGCTAATTAAATATAAAATCAATAGGGAACGAAATTAAAATTTTTAGCATGGATTTGGCATACGATGGTCTATACCGTTGTAATCAATTATCGAAAGTATTGCTCCCAACGGAGAATGCGAATTTTTTAAACATCATCACTGTAGTATCTACTCTATATTCATTATTGGTAAGTTTTACTTCGTTGTCATTAAACAAGTTGCTCCATAGTATATTCTCTAATTATTTTATTTATATAGGAAAGGGTAAAACATACTATTATTACTCTAAATTCATATCAGCCGTTAACTCAATCATCATTTTCCCATAACTTTTGCCGAAAGTCAAACTCATCACCTAAAAAAATGCGTGTACCAGTAGTTAGAGTTTAGATTATAGATTATTATATCATATATATAATTATGAATACTTTGCATGTGTATTTCTGGAATCTTTTCTAATGCTTTGATATCGATGCCACATATGATTGAGAATTTTATCTAAATTTTTTTACGGAGTAAAGCTTATATAGCACGTATCTCTGATGATGTTTTTTTTGTTTATGCTAATAAACGTACTTTTGAATAATTAATATTTTATGTAAAAACAAACTTCTTAAAAGTGACTCTAAAAGTCATGGCAAATACACAATCTAAAATTGATTTATTAAAAGAAGAGAATTCCAAGCTTATAGCTGAGATTACTGAACTTAAGAAGGAGAATGTTAAAGTCAATGCTGAAAATATTGTGATTAAAGCCGAGAATGCAAAATTAAGACAAGCTTTAGAAGGACATGAAACCAGAATCACGAAACTAGAACAGGGAGAAAAAGAAAAAAGTGTTACTAATGCACGAAGTGCACTTTCTACGAAAGATGTTTCGCAATCTCCAGTAAACTTTAATGATACTTCTGAACAGATAATCTTACGAAGTGAGGATGTTCTGGCATCTGATATATCTAATAACGCTTCAAATTCTGATGTACGTCAGAAATCTTCAACTCGATGCTATACATCACCTATCTGCACAGAGCCTAAATCGTTGGAAGATAAGGAGGTTGATGAATTCCTGGATTCAGTGAATAAAGAAAAGGTTAGTAACGAAATAAGAGAAAGAAATCGGGAAAAGAAGCTTCTACGTGAATCTGCAATAAATCAAGACTTGACTTCGGATAACATTTTATCAAAGCTATCCAATTTATCATGTAACACAAGAACCGTTCCCTCGGGGAACGATCAAATTCATGCAATTTCAGAAGAGCCAGATTTTCCGAAAACTGAAATGCCTGAATTGGAGCACGGTGATGAGGTTGATAAAAATCAAATCGTAGAACAGGGCTTAATAGAAGAACTGTGTTCATCTACTGAGATTGCTTCCGCAATAGAGAATACTAGCTCTACCGAAACTAGCATCTCATGTGATAAATCAGAATACACAATTTTAGGTGAGTCAGAAACTCGAAGCTCTGCATCTTCCGCTCAACATCTTTCTTGTTTATTTAAAACGGCAATCAAATCTCGTCAACAAGAAATCTTAAACTGGTATTATTATTCTCTTGAATTCGAAAAAAAGGTTCATGCTATTACAGCTGATGGTAAGATCAAAGATAAAACGGCAAGAACAATGGTTTATAAAGAAATGAGACCGTTTCTTCCTAATATCACTCAAGATAACTTGCGTAAAAAAACCCTTAGAGCTAGAAAACTTCTTATATTATTCGGAAAAAATGGAGTTGGAATAGATAAAATTAAACGAATTACATATAGTGCAAATGAGATTTCGAAACTAACTAATGCTCAAATTCAGAATATTATAAATCAGGTAACTTCACAAACCGTTCCCTCAGGGAACGATCAAAGTCATGTGACTTAAAAATGCCATGATCAGATTAATGTAGAGGTAAGTATATCTAATGAATCGATTTCAAAGGAACCATCTCAAGCTTTCGCTGATTCAGAAAAAGTACCAGAAACCGAGGTAAGTGTATCATCTAATTCAACTCATGACCGTGCTTATTTCCATAATAAAATATTAGAACAATATCCTAATTTATATCAAGAATTCAGTAGTGAAAATGTTGATTATTACGGAATTACTGATGAGACATTATGCCCATTATGCGAGTTAAATCATGAGGATGAGGAAGGTGTAGAAGGCAGATATGAAGCTGGGTCCTATTATATTAAATGCGAGCAACGTGAAATTGAAATAACTGCATAACTCCATCTTTCATTGCCTCCTAATAAAGAGCATACTGAAACAAATTCGCTCAATATTTTATTTTTGTCTCATGAAATGAGGATGTTTTCGCATCTGGCTATTGTGAATTAAATTGATTTGGAATTATTTAAAACGGCAACATGGATACAAAAACTAAGTCTGATGAAATATTAACCTCAGAATATCTGGATTGGCATGCCAAATTAATTGGTTTACCAAGTATTTTAACAGATAAAATTCGTTCCAAATTATATAAAAGATATAAGAAAGAAACTGGGCTCGATCCCTGGATAAATTCCAAAACGAAGATAAGTGTATCAAACAAAACCCGAGAGGCAGAGCCTTGTTACTCCCGCAACTCCCCAATTTCTGGGATTAATCCAAATAAAATGGAATGTCTTTATAAATATGCCATTGAACATGGAGAGGATCCTGAGAAATTTTCGATCGTCACTGAGGCTGAGAAAAATAGATGGGCCATGAAATGCTTCCGCGAGTACTTGGAAAGAGACATACGCTTTTATCAAGGTGCATTAGAGAGAAAGGAAGATCCTAGAAAATATCATAAATTTTTAACTGATCGGGATAGGCTGATAGGTGAAGAATTATTACGTCACAATATTCTAAAGAGTGGTTCAAATACTACATGGCTCGATAATCTTATGGAAGAATGGGGAAAAAACCATACCCAATTCATACAAATTTTTAGCCAGGCCTAGCCAGACACGAAGTGACCTGCAATAAGTATATTATTTCGAAGGAATGTGAAAGTATGTGTGAGGCTGATTTCTTAGAATATAAGCAAAAATTTGAGGCTAAGATGGGATTCCTACCACACAAAAATGAACTAAAAGAGCGTGCCCTTATTGCATATGGGTAACTTTAGATGTGGAAGTATGCTTCTTCGGCAAAAAATAAAATGTTTGAATCAACGGTATACAGGTGAAAAATCACATGTGCGTCCAATTTGGAACAGAGATTCTGCATGCTGATCACTTTTGCATAATTTCTCTGATAGGTAGGCCCTCATTCGATGTCAAAAAATAAGCTTAATCGTTTTTATACAACAACAATAGATACCTCTCATTTAGACTCTGGGCTTTGCCCATTCGTAAAACAGAGAAGATCCAGTGATCGCATAATATTACACAACATTAGATTAAAATGCATTTGTGAGTTAATCCCTCTGCATAATCAGGTCCTTTATGGGCGACCCGACAAAAGTGAGTAATGGGGTGGCTGAAATTTCAGATTTCTTGGCATATAAAAACAAAGCTTGAAGTATAGGGGCAGTCATCGCCTTTCGAGGCAGGTCTAGGGGCCGATTGAACCCTCCCTTGCAAAGCTTTTTTTTATTAAGGGTGTGGTTGCCAGATTATCATTATCTTTTAGCGAGGAGAGGTAGATCCGACAAGCTACCCACTATACCACTGAGCTATTAGATGAGAAGTAATTTGTGTATATCCACCTTAGCAAAATTGGCATAGGCGGAATCCATATTTCTGGTTGATGTTAACATTAATCACTTTTTTTTTTAGCATAAAACACAAATAGAAACACGAAAATCTACCAAAGAAGAAACTATTAATTATATTCGGTCACAATGGGTTTCTGAGGATTTCGGTACCGAGGATCTTTGCATCTGGGTTTGCTTATATTCTTGATGACAGCTCGTTCTGATTTCCATTATATCTACTATTACCCACAATCCATGATGAGTAACCAAGAAAAAATTTGCCGATATCAGTAAGTCCTGATATAATAGCTTTATAGGTCTTTTTGATTCCAAGTTGGATTGCATCACATTTCTGCTAACATCGAATCTATTTCCGCGAGTTGGGTATCAAAAGGATTATAATGCTCTCTGTGCACTTCCTTCGAAAGATCGTTATTCTTAGGCTGAGATTTAGGTTCGGGTTCAGTATTAGTATCAGGATTGGTATCGGAATCAGAAGAAGTGTCACCCTCAGCATAATAAGTTCCAGAATCAAAACGGTCGATCTTATGTCTCATTGCAATTCTACAAAGTAAACTAAGATGTTGGGCCGTTGGATTTTGACTACCATGAACTTTAGAAGCATGTTTACTCCCTATTTTTCTCAATCTTTTGGCAGTAATACCATATGCATTTAAAAATTTGCTAAATGCTCTAATATTGCGTTTTCCATTATCACTATATACAGGATCACGTAACTTTTTCATTGATATGGCATCTTGAATCCAAGTAAGTAATTCTCTTGCACGTTCTGGATCCTTTTCCATGGAAAGGAATTGTCGAGGCTCAGGATTAACCTTCTTTTCTCCCTTATTCTTAATATATCCTGTACAATACCAAGAATAACCGGGTTTGTACCATTCCGGAGGGTCTGTTTCATCGGGTTCATAATGGATAATACGAAGAGTAGTAATTTCAGCGGGTCTCATGCTTAACATCATAATCACGTCTGCAAGATCCTGCATAGTTGGAATTTTAGTAGTATCGATATTTTGAATTCTTCCAAGTCCCATATCTAAGGAGAAGTGTTTGGGAGTATTAGAAGTTTTAAACGGATCGGTTAATCGCTGTACAAGTTGCTTCTTCTGAATTTCGTTAGAATCTTGAGTAAGTGCTGGAAATTTAGCATATATATCAATTACTTTAGAATCAACTCCAGATTCTTTCAATTCCTTACGGAAAAGCGAAATACGTGAGCTGGATGCAACAATTTCTTCATCACTATCATTTTTTGTCTTGACTAAATCTAAAGCATGTAAGTAAATATCATATGGATCACCACTTTTAGCGCAATATTGAACTCTTTCCCTAATAGTAAGTTTTTCATTCCTTTTATCCGGTACAAGAGCCTTGATCTGTTCTTCTTTAAATTGACGTCGACGAAGAGCTTCTTTCACATTTTTACGAGCTTTCCAATCTGGTAACATAGCGCCAAGTTCACTAGCATAGACACATAATTGAGATGGATTAGATTCGGTGGATAAGTTATATTTTTTTAGGATCTGGTCCAAAATTGAGGTAAAATTATTAGTTTGGGGCTTTCGGGTTTTTGAAGCAGTGTTCATGATAATACGTATATCGATAAGTAGATTGCAGTATATTTGTTACATATTTATTTTTTCAAATCAAAAATTAATCACCCGCTCTTCATTCATAGATATCAGCCATGCAAGAAATATTTCTATGAAAAAAAAAGCTCCTTGTAGAATTTGTAATAAACTTACATCATCTTATACGGGATATTGTGCAAAGCACGTCAAGAGGATTTATTCCAATAAGTGGTATGAAAAACAAATATTTTCCAATCTGAATTTTTATAATGTCTATTTAGAAGGACAAAAAATCCCCTCTGTGGATATATTTATACTAAAATTTTAGCCGTACTAGCTTTGCTATTATTTGTTCCATCTAATACGTCATTATAAATTGGAGATTTTCTAAAATATATATATTGGATTTACCATAGGTATCCGTTTTCTTGAAGTATCGATATTTTTTCTATCCATTCATCATCGTTATAACTCCTTGGTTGGGGGTTACCCTTATCCTCATGCAATCGGATCATAATTTCCTCACTTATTAATCTTTCTCTTCTAGTCATATCCATTAATGAATTTGGATCATCATCGATATCTTTTGTGAATTGGATCATATCAGCATCTGCCATTATTCTATCCCTGTATTCTCTAGATAAATTAATATCTTTTTCAGTAATAGTCATGAATACATCTGGATCCTCGCCATGATCAATAGCCCATTGCCTAAGACGTTTTTCCCGCTGGTCCCGGGTTGGATAGTCGGAAGGTAATGCTACTGGTTTGGATATGGTTTCTTCACTATTAGATTCAGATTTATCGTTTTCAGGTAAGTTGGAAGATATTTCTGATTCATCGCTAACAGGTTCAGGAATGTCAATAATCTCTGAATTTTTAGATGTTGAAGGAACCGATTCTATTTTTTTCAGTATTTCTTTTTCCGGTTCGATTTCTTCTTTCTTCGTTTCAGGAACACTAAATACCGGAATTTCCATAGAACTTTTGGTAGGAAAGCTATCTTGTGAAATATCAGAAGTGGAAAGACCATGAGTTTCCAACTCAAATTCTTCGATATCGCCAATTGACTCATGTAATTTGGATACGATTTTGGATCGGTCAAGGATATACTGCCATTCTCTTTTTCCACCGCCAGCACGTTTTCGTTCAATGTTAACTTGTGGGATTTTTTTCCCAAAATTATTATTACTGAATGGCTTTTCACCATTAGCTTCACACCATGTACGATACTCCTGATATAACATAACACAACCTGGTTTTTCAATTTGATCTTTTGACCATACCGAAATATGATCAATTATGAATCGGATGGGATTTGGGAGATGCTCACGCATTGTCTCTGTTTTCATTTTAGTGGTAGGAATATTTTCTTGTGGATTCCAATTCGAAAGGTCTTGATCAAGTAAATAGCTCATAAAAGATCCAGGTGTATCGGGATGGTTGAGAATTTTTCCCAACTGACTAAAATATTTAAAATTACCTTTACATCGAGGTGAAACATCTAAACATACAATACAACCATCTCCTTGCTCAACATGAATTGGGGCGTCATGATTACTTAATACTATAAATCCAGGAAAATGGCCACATTCTTGATTTTCGAGACCTTTGCGCTCAATTGAGACGTAATCTTCTGTAATTAGAGATTTTAAGTGATCGTTTGACTTATGCCATTCTCCACTTAACATTCCCGCTTCATTCATAATTATAAGTTTACGTCCTTGAATACTACTGTTAAATTTTCCCAAAATTTTACCTAAGTCAGACATTGAATATACAAGCTCTGGACCGAATAAACTTTTTCGAATAAAATCAGTAATAATATTTTTCCCACATCTTGGCGGTGAGCGCAAAACAAGAATTGTTCCTGGAATTATTGCTGGATACTGAACTAAAAATGCTAACCATTTGAGAGCATATGAAGAAAGAACTTTATTTCCATCACACCAGATATTTTCTATGTGCCATATAATCGGGTTTACAAGATCGTAATTAATTTGAGGTGCCGGTTTAGCCTTGAATCCTAAGAAAAGATTGAAGAATTCGTTTTTTGGTTGTTCGATATTAGGTGGATATGGTAAGAAATTGATGTCATCATAAATAATCACCTTGCTGTCATATATACAATCTATCAAAGAGATTAATTTTATTGGTTCTCCTCCAAGTTCTACTATATTAATAGTTATTTTACCAAAATCTAGAGTAGGTGCCATACCAAAGTATAATCTACCATCTGGTTTTCTGTGTTTAAGAATCCATGTTCGTTTATCTCTTACCACACAAGCAAGTGTAGCCTGGATTGCATTATATACTTCATTCCGAGTAAAATTTTTCTTAGAAGTACACATACGAATTAAATCACCCCATACAAAGTGGTCATTTGGATCTGAGATTCTGGGTTGCTCTATTTTTTCCAGTATTGGAAGGGTTTTTTCTTGATTTTTAACTGTTTCATTTATTACAAGTTTTAATGATGGTTTTTTTATACCTGAAGGCATTTCTAGATCTGCACGGTGGCAATAATAGCGATAAGTTTTTTTATTTCGAACCACATAGGCATTATCACTATTATGCACCTGATTACAGAGTGGGCATTGGGATTCTGTTCTACGATTTAGAGGAAATATGTTTGGGAGTGCAAGTGAAGGATATAAAACTTCAAAACCTTCAATTTTATACTCTTCAAGTAATCTCTCAATAAATTCTACTTCTGATCCAAAAGTTCTAGCCTCGCTTTTACCATTTTTCGATGCCTTTGCTTCTTGAACATCTAGGATAAGACTATCTACAACTGGTGATTCATCATGTGGTGGACAAAGCATAAAATTAAAAACAGAACTATCCTTTGGATATGATGGTTTTTTTACACATACGTGTTTTCCAGTTTCTTTAACAATTTTTGGCGTACCAAGAATTTGCAATGAAAATATACTTTTTTTCGCAATATTGTCAACAATATCTTTGCTTTGTAAACCTATTGGAAGCTTTTTTCGAACGAGTTCAGTAAATAATGCTACTTTGGAAATATTTTTAAGACGCATTCCAAAAGTTGATATGTGGAAAGACATTTTTTGGGAATCGCTACTATTTGCAATAGCCAAAGTGTTTTTATCCCAATCTGTATATATCTCTAGACAAACTTCTATAAAGGCATTACAAAGTAAATCTAGTATCTCTTTACATGCAAGTTTGGGTTCGATTTTATTAAATGTCTCTTGAGGTAAATCAAAATCAATAAAAGGACAGAGTGGATCATCTCCATCAATAAATTTGTGTAGTGAGTGTCCTTTACGATCTGTGAGTATAGATTCTATTCCATCCTCATTATCCGTTCCTAGAAATTCCCTTGGATTTACGGTATCATCATGAATTTTATATGAATATTCGGATACACTTTCGGCATTGTGTCCACGGTGGTAGAAGGTGCCATTGGTTTCGTTTTCTGTGTTTTCTGTGCTGTTATTTTGGGTTTCCATATTATGAAAGGGTATTTTACGATTTTATTATATTAACCTATTAAAAATGTTTAAATAAAAATTAAACATTTAACATTATTACCTAATAATACTATACTAATTAGTATTTTGAGTTTGATTCACTTTTATAAAGCATTTTAGATGACTGGGGATTATCTTTGTCAGTATATCACTAACGATAAAACAATTTGTAATAGGTCTTGCAATCGACCAAAAGGTTGTGGCATTCATTATAAGAGACGCCAACGTGTCCCCAGTTTAGAATGTGATAAACTGACTGCTTCTGATTATAAATTATGTAGTTTACATGTGAAAAAATGTCATTCTAAAGCATATTATCATTGGAAAAAGCTAGCTAATATGGTAGAAAACTATTCTGAGGTGGTTAAAAAAAATTAAACTTGGTTTTGGGTGGTGTCCTAGAAAAAAATCTGCCCTAGTTAACTTTTTTTATTAGGATGGAAAAAAGATAGCTTGGTGATAATTTCAGGCTAAATAAAAGTATTTTTGACTACCTGTCCTAGTTGTCCTAGTAAAATTTTGGAATTTTCTTTTATATTTTTTTCAAAGATGGTTCGGATTTTTTTTATTCCGAGGCGTCTAAAAAAAAGTTTCAATTTTTTTTCCTAGAATTTTAATTTTTACTAGTGTTAACAATATCTTAGGACAACCATGACGACTTATAATATCTTCATAAAAGAATTGCACCACCGAAGCAGCTTTGG